CCTATGGCATACCTGAGGCAGTATGACTGGTTATAAAAAAAAAATAAACATACATGTATTAAGATATGAATAAAAAATTGTTAAACACCTTTTTAATTTTAAATTATGAACCAGTAACAGTAAATACATTATGTTGTTTAATCGTATAGAATATAAACTTTGGTGATTTAAAGTTGGAACACATATTGAAGCCACTAGAATACATAATTCTGTTTTTCTTTGTTCAATCAGGCAACATAAGAGAGGAAAGAATTAAGTACTGGTTCTAAAACACATGGTGTGATAGGATTTGGCATTATTGGTTATATTATGTCAGTGTTATTAAGATTCACTTACCCATGGGTCATTTCCCTCATGCTTTATGGAAGGGTAAGCAGCAAACAATCTTTTTCCAATTAATTTATAGTTTTCAGCAGATCCAAGATTGGGGTATTTTGTCATAAAGAAATGAGCACTTTCGTCAATTAGCTTGCTCCACACAGATTTTGCTTGTCCAGAAGCCAATTTTTCTTTTACAAAACTACTAAATTGAGGTAGTTCAATCTCATTTGAATAGGAACAAAAAGCTGGAAGAAAAACAAAATACAGTAATCAATAAATTAAGTTTTATATAGATATTTTAGCATTCATCAATAAGATTAATTTTACACAAAATATTGATGCCAATTCTTATATGGAGCTGTAACATCACGCTTTAGTAAGCTTCAACTAACAAAACATAACTAACCTCGACTAGAGTCTTCAATTGTTGGTGATATATCTTCTTCAGTGTCTAAAGTCTCACTACCACTACTACTACTACTACTACATGGTTCCATACGGCGTCCTATGTTCTGCTTACATGCCGATACTGGCTCCCATTTCTCTTCATTGGTAAGTAGCATCAGTGTCTCTGACTTCACAGCCATCAATACTTCATCTTCATCTACTACTGTCCCATCTTGTTCAAGAACAACATGGTAGACTTTCTTGTTCAGCTTGGTTCCACCTAAAGACAAATATATTTAAAATGGCCGACTGGGTATAGTTCAATAGTAAATACAAGTCAATACATATCGAGGTAGTAAACAAACAAGAATTTTTAAACAGGGTACAAGAATTTATTTTAAAATAAAATTATACGGCCTCGTGGAAGAACACCCATTTGGGTGAACAAGTTTTTCGTCTGTTACAAAAATAAAGATGTTATTATCATTATTATTATAAATAGTAAACTAAAATTACCTTTTTGTAAAATCTCTTGTATGTTTTCGCACACAACCATACTCTTATTTTGTCTGGTAGAATCCCACACTTTAAATACCGGCATTATGTACTTGGTTAATAACCCTATGTGGCAAAAGTAGTAAAGTGTTTTTCAATGTCATTATGGGTCATTAATTACAGTAATGTATATTAAAATTTGGTAAATTTGATAAATATGCAGGCCTACACTCAAACATGAAATTGAAAAACAAAAATTTGCTAAAGTTGAAACAATAAGAAAACAAATAAGAAGGAAAACTGATGTTTTCAAAATAATCCTAGCATTAAATAATTATATTGTATAGTTTTTGACATACTCTACAACATACATGTATAGATGCGCGCCAATTTGGTGAAAACAATTTGAGCCTAGCGCGCGTAGCATGTAGGTGTTAAATATGAGAGTATTGGTTAATTACAGCACACTGTTTATTATATAAGTGGAAGTTCAAAGGCCATTTTGAACTCAGGCTGTGATATGTAACTACAGCTTGTTTGCCAGAATCTACCAATATATAACATAGTCCTTGTTCCTCAAAATGATCAACAGACATCACATCAACAACAAATAATTTCTCCTGATTAAAGACAATAATTTCAGTTAATTTTCCAAATATTGGTACTTCATTTTCATCATAATTCAGACGCAAACAACATCCTGGGCGAAATTTATGGCCGTGAATTTTCACACTGTCAGTCACAAACACAATTGTTGCCGGGTCTCTAAATGCATTTGAATTTGTTGCATCACACAATTTTTCAATTAGTTGTGGAAAATTTTCATGTGGTAATACTTCTGCTCCTTCATTAACTTCATCGCCTTCATACAAGCAGTTATTAATATTACTTGCCTGTGAGTGACACATAACCATTTGATGCTTGATAGCTACACTAAGTGGAAGATTTTTAAAGTTTTTCCATTTTTTTGATTTTGTATGAGTATGTTTCGCCTCAAAGCGCATACACCAATGATAACGAGCAGGACCATACTTTAAAATTTGAGATGGCATGTGAACACAGTAATGCATCTTCGGTGTGAAAGAAGCACGTGGATATTCTTCAATGTATACGCTATGATGAGTGTAAATCATTTGTTGCAATTGCCCAACAGTGTTACGATCAGCATATGGACTAACACAAAGAAGCATATTTTTAACTAAACAAAGAAAATTCAACCATTTCTTATTCCCATTTGGAATGCAAGGGCCAACAATGAAAGGTAGGATAAGAGAAAGGGTATGAATTGATGCTGCTGTCTGCTTGATTCTCTGTTCTCCATGGAAGTGAGTATAATCAAGGGCAACAACCTTTGTGTCAGTCTCCAAATAAGTATATGAAAAATTTGAAAGTTTACCATTAAGCCATTCCAATGTAAAGAACCTGTCCACATAAATGAACTGATACAGCATTAGTTTCAATTCAAGAGGGACCAAACCTTCAAGGAAAACATGCATCGGATCATGGACTAATGCAGAGCACAGTGGAAAGTCAATATCGAACAAGCAACTACGACCATTAATGCCCCACATTTTGCTCCAGTATTTAAGAGCAGCAGACGAAAGATTTTCCATTTCACCACATCTTTCTTTATGTACCAGTTCATCTCTTAATGAGATTTCAGTTTCATCAAGATGCATTTTCATATCTTCCTTTGAAATGTTGCATGTCCGACATGGTTTCAGTGCAAACCCCACCCCCTCTTTAAACCCACCTAACCACTGTGCTGCAGGGGTATCACAGGGGAAAATCGCAAGGAAGCCTTCAATTGTTTGTTGTCTTCCATTTATGTTGATCTGTATACCATCATTTTTAAGGCATCTTATACCAGCCAAAAAATCTTGTAACAACTTCTTACACCCCATATTGTCCTGTTTCAAATCTTGTGTTTTTGCAACAGCAAGCAAGTGAATACTAGTAAGACGGGAACGATACTCAGGGGGAAGATTTCCCAGGACCCAGTAAAACATGGACAATTTATGTTTCTTGACATGTACCCCAATGGGGTTTACAATTTCAATGTCATCGCAGTTTAAAACAATCTGAAGTGCTTGAGGGTTTCTTTGAAATATAGGGTGGTTTTGGATAGCAATACCATCACAAATGTCGTACATCATGTTATCAGTACTCTGGTGTGGATTCACAACAAACTTTTGTACCTCAGGCAAATTTAAGAATCCTTGCAGACTTTGTAGAAATGGAATAAAGTAACCTACTCTATTTACACGTTTAATTTTTCCCTTTGTTCTGATATTTTTATGGCCAAGTGTCACACCAACTGGTTTTATATAACCAAACAGTTCTTTATATATTTGTAAGCGTTTATGACGACTTTGCATGTTATTAAAAACACCATCAAACCTTCGAATAATCACATTGTTGTCATTCTCTAGAAAGATTCTATCAACATCACCGTGTAAGTTATTTTGATCAAAAATAACATTTTTTTAAAGTAAAGAAGTTTCAGAAAGAACTGAATTTAATGCTACATTAGTAAGCCCATGTCGGGCCTCAAGAGATAAAGCATATTTGGCTATTTTTCTTTCAATATTTCTTTGATCATTAACTATAGGTTCTTCATCAATTACATTTTCATCTTCAGAATTATCACCAGAATTATCTGAAATGTTTTCATCAAATTCCTGTTGGTCTCTATCTTTATGTTTACGCCAGACATGAGTTCTAAATGCCCCCCAACTTTTAGTAGAGTAGTTGCATTGAAAAGCAGAACATGTCACTATAAAGTGTGGATCATTTTTGTGCAACATGTTTCTCAAACCTGTGGTAAGTAGGTGACCTAAAAAAACACATACTACATTGCCACATGATGGCATCTCCCAAAATACTACAATTTTTTAATGATGTTCTATAAAAACCTGAGAATAAAACGTGTTTTGATAATAAAAGCCAAATGGTAAAGCTGATTAATATTTGATAAAACAATATTGAATAATAATTAATAGCTGTTTTAATTAGAGGATAAAAAAAACATCTGTAGGTATTCAGTATATGTCAAAATCCTTGATTGCTATACTAAATAGTTTATATCAGCAATTAGATCTTTCAAAGTATTACAAATTTTAATAAAAAGGTAATGGCTGTTGCCTAATGTTAACAAACATTACAGTCATGGCTGATATAAAAAAGCATTAAAATATTTTTTTTTTAAACCCAAGTAGGCCCTCTCTCTAAGTACAATTTGAATTAAAAGTTAAAAACAATAGTGAATTTGAGAAAAGGTCTCCAGTCAGTACCACACCTCTTCCCCACCTCATAACCTCCCAAAAAAATAATCGTGCTGTCAAGGTGGGCGAAAAAGATACAATCCCACTCCTTTGACCCTTCCCCTCCCAGCAAAATTAATAATAATACGAAAAAAAAAAAACAGATACCTACGGTACGTTAGGCCTAGCTAAGATAAAGTACACACTATTTTTGTACTGTTATTAAAATATCCCTAGGCCTATAGGCTTTGATCTAGGCCACATCTAGGCCTAAATGCCACTAGGCCTATGTAGACCACCCTGTGTGAGGACAAGTTACGACTTGGAACCTTAGACTAGGCCCTAGGGCATCACCAGAAAGCTAGCTCGGCCCCTCCCCTAGTTTCAGCCTAGAGTTTCTACATAAATTTTTTAAATATTGTGATGACCAAGGATAAATAAAAGTAGCCTAAGTTAGGCCTATGTATACCATTCATAACATTATTACATTATAAAGAAAATAAAATTCCACTTACTTATATAATTCTGTAAATTTTTGAAGTAGAATTACCAAACAGAACTCAGGTGGTTGTAGATAGAAAAAAAATGGCGGCAACATCCTCAACCTCCTCATTTTCGTTAGCAACCGGCCAGCAGTGACGTCAATAGTCGCGCGCCTTAATTTCGGAATACTTTATCAGCTCTCCCATTGGTCAATGTGACTTGCCACTCGGGAGAAAGTGGAAAACATCTAAACAGCATGACATGTTTAGATGTTTAAATTAACATTGAAATATTATGTTCTTATATAAAAATAGGTTGTCTTACATCTGGTTATTCTTACAAATACAACCATTGATACATCTGTTTGTGAAAATCTTTATAGGGCTACAAAATTTTGTCAATTAATCTGGAATAATATTTGAAAATATAGAATATTTGAAAAAATAGAATATTTGAAAGTGTTCAGTTTTAAACATTGCATCCGTTTAAATCTGATACATAGTGTTTATATTTTAAACACACCGTAACAATTGTAAACGCGTCAAGCGTCACAATTTTTTACAGTGTATAAGATAAACATTTATTGTTATGACCACATAACAAGGTGTACATGAAATTTGATGTACAGAATAAAAATATAAAACACAAGAGGGGTGCTTAAGAAAATATTCATTAGGGAGGCTGCTGCTTAGCATGAGTAAGGTATTTTTAAATACAGTGAATAGGTTATATATGTTTAAGCTTGAGGTACACCACGTAGGTAGTTCTCAAAAAGAACTGTTCTAGTTGATAAAGTCTTGACGTTTCGATTGAGTTGCCTTAGTCGTCTTCATGAGAATAACATTCAGTGAATAAGAGCATGTTTAATAGTGGATAATGTAAAATAACAATGATGACAAGGTGGATGTATTTTTGACAATTCATTCAGGTACAAGAGTAATAAAGTTGTAGGTTAATTGCTGAAGCATTTAATTATAAATTGTTCAAGAACTAGTCAAACCACACTGAATACACCTTGGTTATTTTGTTATTAAACAATCAACTTTAAAAGAAAAAAAAATAATAAACAATATTATTGTTAAGCAAAAGTAAACAATAAAAGAGTAAATATGTTACCTGCAGTAAAGATGTTGCATTCAGTTGTCCTAGTGTTGTAATCCTGTTTCCCTTGAATTTGTTTATAATAAACTCCATTTATTTGTGCTTGACGCAGGGTTCCCAGAATGCCGCCCTCAGCGGCGTGTGCGTAGCAACTCAGAGTCAGAAGTGGAACGTGAATTTCGATTTGGTTTTGTAGTCAGATTTTCTAGAAAAACTTCAGCTACCCGTATTTCTCGACTGAGACGTCAATGGGAGCTGTAATTTGGATGGCAAGTAGATGGTGCTACCCTTAATTTGTATTAAGGGAATTTAGTTATTAATATTTTGGTTATAATAGGAAATTTTTATTTTTTGGTGACGTCACACTCACGCTAAAGTTAGCATGTATACGTCATAAGCTAGATTACGTCACCTTTTGCTGGTAAAGCAAACTTTCCCGGTGTGCTTTTTTCATGGATAAACAAACACCACTGCTTTGCACATGAGTGCCTTGTCTAGCTATGGCTACACGAGCCGCATAGTTAGCATCTTAAACAAGGTACGTCTGCAACTGAATTATTCTTAGGCCCTAGTTATTTTTTTTTTCTTATTTTAATTTATTTCTTTCGAAAGTGTACTTTCTATCACATAAAATTGCACTGTCTACCTAGGCCTAGGCCTAGTCATATTATGCTTCATCGTCCCCTGCTGTACACAGTACATCAGTAGGCTAGCCCCCACCCCCCACGCTACAGTACAGACGTTTGCTAGGCACAGGGACGTATCCAGGGGGGAGCCGTGGGAGCCGCGGCTCCCCCCTTTGTACACAGTGTTAACATTTTAAAGCTTATTCTTAAGCCAATACAAATTCTTTCCTGGGATCACTAAAAATGTATACTTCTAGAACATGTAAATATGCATCAGTACACGATATACATAGGCCTAATAGAACACATAGGCCTAAGCGTGATTAAAAAAAATCTTAAATCCATAAATCTCAGGCCAGGTCTTTTAAGATAGAAATGCGATACTGTGGTTAAAATTCGTTTTTATCCTTTTCCAAGTTTCTTTAATTTTTTTTAAAAATAATACTACTTCTAATAGTAATAATGATAATAAGAATGATGATGATGATGATGATGATGACGATAGTAATAATTGATAATAATATTAGTAGCAATAAAAAGTGAAGAAAATTGTGCTAAATGCGAAAAAAAAA